GGGGTCGTGCTGGGCCGGGCCATCGAACACTGCTGTCAATTTAGGTTCGGACAGTTGGCAATCATGTTTGGCTTCTTCGCGTGGCGCAGCAGCAGTGGACCTCAATTATAGGAGAGAGCTATAGTGGAGCGGGGAGGGGAGAGGGGGGAGGAGGGAGTTGTGCGGGGGTGAGGCTGTCGACCTCCGAGTGCAATGAGTATCTAAGACGTCTTCAAGCGTATCATACAGGGTGGTCCACACCACAGCCCCCTTCCTTTGGTTTGCTTATACCGTGCCGCATCATTAGAAAGCCTAGAGCGAGTATGAATTCTCTCCGGAGAGCGAGAACTTGATGTAAATTTGCTCGCTCTCTGGAGAGCAAGGTTTGATTTTCTCGCTAGATTAGAGCAACGGATTAAGGAATGTCACTTTATTTGAATGATAGTAATATGGAAACCTCACTTTCTTTGAGAGAGGATTCCTGAAGTTAGAATCAGACTCGATAAAAGTGAGGTATCTAAATCATGACTTAAATAGAGCAATCGAGAAAATTCTGGCTCTTTTTAGGTGAGACATCTCAGTCCAATATTTGCAGTGATGCGCAGGCTTAACTACCCCAGCTCGCCATTGCGCCTATGCGAGTATGCATACCGGCTGCACGCATTTATCTGGTACAGTATGTATGGGCAAAATAAATGAAGGAGTCTATGGACCACCCTGTATATTTTTTTAGGAGGAAGAATAAATTTAGACGTTAGTCGCAAAGAGAGGTCACGGAGAAAAGTACCCATGCGTCTTGCACTCGTGCGTTTTATACTAATAATGTAGTGTTTTATTAAAAGAGTAAAACCAAAACAAACAAAATCACTGGAAATTCCGTTATGGCGGAAAAAAGCACAGGCGAGAAGTTTGCGCCACTCCCTCTTTTCCAGACGTGTGGCGGTAGGGGTGCTCCGCAAACAAAGATTGGGTCCAGCCCTTCACTTTGAACTCTCAGGGACCTGCTGGGGCCAAAACGGGCTGGAGGGAACGCTGGAGAGACCTGCTGGAGAGGCCAAAGCCCAACCGGAAGTGGGGGGGGGGGGAGGATTTAGAGAGGAGGTGCTGGAGTCGCTGCTGGGGCGCCGGGACACGGTAACGCTCGCGGGCTCCCGGGGCCTTGAATGAGCGAGAGGAATGTGTTGAGAGGGTGAGAGGAGGGGAAGGGGAGGGGACGGGGGGCCGAGTGGGGGTGTCGGACGATGAAGTGCGAGTACGGTAAAGGCGCTGCCAGAGCAGCCGCCAGTTGAGAGGCCTGCCCTGCTATCGCAGTAGTGCGAAACGTTGTCCGAAAAGCTCGCTCGCTCGCTCGCTCACTTCTGCCCTTCCCTCGACCCTTTTCTTCTCGTTTTCTTTTCGCCGCTGTCAAGTCGCCTGGCTGGTTGGTGTTCAGTGCATATATAAGTGTACACTCACCCCATCCCAGCGCGACGTACAGCTTGATGGAGGAGGTGTCGGAGAAGAGCGCCAGGAATATGAGGTTGTGCAGGTACAGGCCTTCCATCAGGATCCACGAGTAGTTGGCCATGATGAAGTACTGCCAGAGGCTCGTTATCAGCTTGCACACCCAGTTCTGCAAAACGAAAGAAGTGAATTCAAAATAATGGATTCAAAAGAGGGTTCTGGATCTTTCTCCTGCTTGTTGTGGGCTGGATGACTAATAGTAGGACAGCCAATGGCAGCTTGAATAATATCAAAAACACACAAAGAAAAATTAGTAAAAGAACTGCCTCAATTAGGTAATGCATTTGTCCTTTGATCAGAATTTAAGCTAAGTATTGGCTAACAGCTAATAGAAGATCATCCATAAGAGCTGTCTAGCACCAAAAGTAACTAGCTGTAAAGGCCAATTAGCAGGCAATTAGCAATTAGCTCACTTTGTAATTAGCTAAGCGAGAAAAGTGTATTCTAAACTGTGGCCAAATCATAAAAACGCATGAGCTTTTTATTGTTTTAGTTAACTCCTTTTCTTCCGTGTAGTGCAACGTGGGAGGATATGACTGTTTGGCCGGTGGGACAAGGACAAGGATTACATTATATACATGAGCATGTAAACTGTTTTATCGAGTTCTTTGGGAACGTGCCTACTGCACGGAGCGGAGCAGTAGGGAGAGACGCGCTGACGCTGATGCTGTGCGCGGTCCATGGCGGCGTGGTGAGGGGAGCCGGACCGTGCCATTCCATTCCCACTCTGGAAGTGTGATAATAACGTCAAGGGGGCTTGGCGCCGCGGACCGCCCCGGGCGGGCAGCGGCGCGCACTTGTAATGGACCGGAATTCCGGGACGTCCCAAACTAACACGAAAAAAAAGGTCGCGGTGGCGTCATGCACCCTCCAAAGTCTTATTATACTAGACCTTTTTCATAATAAAATCGTTTTGACGTTTTAAAATGTCCGTAATGTAAAAATTTTCATCAATTGCTGTCGACAAGAAGGTCAAGCTTGTGTAAAAGTTACGTGGGAATGTATCAGTAACCTTTAGACTAAAATGTTAACGTCATAGCTGACTAAGCCACTGAAGCCAGAGGAGAAATTGTTCCAAAAAAATTCATCCACAGAAGATTGAGAGAGTATTCACGATTCACGTTACGTCCAAATCAAACTTTCCGCTGAAACTGGGATTTGGACGTGTGATGCATTAGAAACATTCGACAAGGCTTGATGAGTCCAGTAAACGAGGATCAAGTTTAGGGCAATACCCTACCGGAAAAATTGCCCTTCAAAAATTGACAGATTAAATAAAAAAAAAAAAAATGGCGAACCGAGGCGCAGCGATGCACCGCGCGGCTGCACAAAGTGAAACATACTGGGTGTTGGACGGGCATTTCAACCTCGCCGCCTCGCGGCCACGGAGTACGGTGGGCCACGGCGGGGCGGAGGGGAATGCGTCAATTAGCACCTCAGCGACGCAGCCCGGCGCGCAGCTCCCCCAAAGCCCCTCTAGTGAGCAGCCCGGCACATCGCAGAACCATTAATTTGCCTCGTTGCCTGCGGAGGTGTGAAACCGCGGCAGAAAAATTCGACACATCTCTTTGAAGACGGGTTTGAAGTATCTGCCTCTTTAGGCAACAACTTTAATTGAAGGTAACAATTATTGAGAGACACATCACACAAAAAAGGTAAAAGATTTATTTTTTGAGACTAAGTGAAGTTTTTACTTTTTTGTGTGATGAGTCGCTTAATTGCTAACCTTCAATTAAAAGTTTTAACTCATAGTAACGAGACGGCCGAGCTCACCTCGTAGCGGTCGACGAACACGTTGCCGCCGTCCTTCTCCAGCAGGTCCGAGGGCAGCCCGATGCCGTCCACAAACAGGCCCGACTTGAGCAGCAGCAGGAACGCGCGCAGGATGAACGAGGCGAAGAGGTGAAGGTGCAACATGTTCCGCGGGCACCGCAACTTCCTGGAGCACAAGAGGAACGAGAACTGTGGTGTTACCATACTGAGCGACTCGTTTCTGGAAGAAAAAATGTATCAATCGTATTCAAAGGCAGCCAAAAGAGACAGTTTTATTTGATTTTTTTTTAAAGGCGGGAAACACAGCAGCTCGTATTAACGCGTTGAGCTTGTTGAACACCAGGCCAGCATCCCTGCTCCCTCCCGGGGCCAATATAACACACGCCGGACTCTAATCAATATTCCCGTCAGGGATCGTGGCGATATCTCCCCGGTGCGTCGCCCGGCCGGGCCGAGCCAGGCCGCCTGGACGACGGCTCAGGGTCACGGCTCGGGGGAGGGATCGCATCGGGATCAGCTAGGCAAGGAGGCGGGGCGCACGTAGGAGATGCGGCCGGGATATGGAACGGGCGGGGGCGCGGCGGAGCATTAGGGGAGGATAATGAGAAAGAGAGGGAAGAGAGGGAGGGAATAGGGAGGGAAGAGGTCATTCTAAACGGGAAAATCGGGGAGCTAGAGGGCCCTGCCGCGGCATCAGATTGAAGAAGGGGGGAGGCGGGGTAGAGATGGTGGATTGAAAGGGAGGGAGGGGGGCTCTGTGGCGGCGTGGCGCTCGGTGCATGACTGCTGCCTCTGACAGTGACTTATGCTGTGCAGGTACACCGGCGAGTTGTGGGGCGGCGTGGCGCGTGGACGGAGGGGCCTAAAGTGTAAAGTAGGGAGGCGGGGGAGGCTTCATGAGTTTGCAGCTCGGCGGGGCGGGATGTGGTGGGGTGGAGCG